TATTTACCCCCTTTGCAACAACAGCTAACTTGATATCCTTTTTCTTGGCCACAATGGAAGCTATGGTTGCATGGGGTTTGTTATACATCCTGGCCAGTTCAGCATATGTACGCCACTTTCATATTGTTCAATGATGTTTTTCTTAAATTCAATCGTATTTCTCACCTTCTTTACCAAAGACTTGGCACTAGGAGCTTTCTTTGGAGCCACGGTAGCTTATTTAGTAGTTGCAAGCACTAAAATGAATGGAATATTATGAAATATTTCGTATGAGCAAGTGAGGGAACTGTCGCTCACTGGTAAACAATGGCACACTGGATGGGAAGGGAGGCCGGGGCGGCCTCCCTTCCCAGCCAAAGTGAGTACGCATCCCAGACGAATGACTATTCGCGAGTCAAACTACGATTAGCGAGCCAATGTTTTGAAGAAAATATCGTTACAATTTTCGAAAATTACGACTATCGAGCCTTACGATTATCGAGGGACCACTGTATTCAGAATAAGTAACGTTTTTTTGTCAAAATATTGGCGCAGTGAATGTCCCTGAACTCTGTATAAGTCATTCGCCCGGAACGTGTCTGCACGGCCTGAGCGGCCTCGACACTCCATGTACAGCCAGTGAGGACGATCCTACGCGTTCATACGATACATTTTGTATTATTCCAATCTTTTTAGTGCTTGTAACTGCTAAATAAGCCACCATGGGCCCAAAGAAAGCTTCTACTGCCAGCCAGCCCTTTGGTAAAGGGCTGAGAGAGACGGGAGAATGTGCCTTTTTCAGTGATTCTGCAATATGTACGATACTAAAGCAGCAGGAGTCGATAAAGGCTATACTGCCAGCCAGCGATAAAGTGTAGCATTAACAGTGTAGCAAGTAAGTTAAGTGATTAATCGAAAGAAAAAGGACAGCATGAAACTGATTCCTCCATTGTAGTTGGAGGTATATAGGGCTACTGACTAACACAGCTGCCTCTACTGCTGTCTTCACCACCTCTATGTAAGGTTTATCTTTCAGTGGCCCTTATACACCCAACAACAAACAATGCACCACCACTCGTGACATTCTTAACCCTTTCAGGGTCCAAGAATTTAAAAAAAAAAAATTTTGTTATTTTTTCTAATGAAATGGTACAGAATCTTTTTCTGAAGGCAATAAAACAAAAAGTATGAAATTTGATGGAAAATTGACGAAATTATGCTCTCGCGAATTTTGATGTGTCAGCGATATTTACGAATTGGCGATTTTGCCGACTTTGACTCCTATTTTAGGCCAATTACATTATTCCAGTTGACCAAATTCTTAGCTATTTCACTAGTATTACTTCTATTCTATCGATTGAACACAAGAAATCGCCAAGTCAACTGCTTCAACTACAAAATAAAGTGATCGGAAATTGGTAATTTCGCCAATTTAACACAAAGTTCAAAATAGGGTCCAGAATAAACAATGTAGGTATTCCTGGCACTAAACTAACATTTCCTCTCTTCATTAGTTACATTTTGAGGCTTTACAAATTGATTCCATTTTGATTTTTTATTCACATAATGAATTTTTATTCAAACCAAAAAATAGAAGATTTACTGTTATGCAATATTGCAATAATTGGATAAATATCATCACCATATTTGTGAATGTATATTAGACCCACCAACTGGCATGTATTAGATGTGTGAGGTCGTTTGTTTACTCTTGAACATCAGCAAAAATTAAACATTTCCACTACTTTGAGGTCAGTTTCAAGCCATTTCCAGTGCTAAAACCAATCAAAATCATCTCTATTTCTGTAATATGTCTTCTATTCTATCAAATGAGACCAAGAAACTGCAAATACAACTATAAAAAACATATGAAAAACACTGCAAAGTCACTGTTTAATAAAAAATCAGTCTCAGTTTTTTATCTCTCATTATACACTGTGCTGCAGAATTTGTTTTATGTGATGTACACATACCACATAGATGTATTCTCTCATATCTAGGCCCAAATTTACCACTCACAGCTTATCAGAGAGAGCTGAGCTCATGGCGTAGATCTACGGTTTGCACCCTGAACGTAAAGCCATAGATCTACGGCACGTACTCTGAAAGAGTTAATATAATATTTTATTAATTCTAGAGTATATATCATGTGTCTGTGTTATTAATATTTTTATAATGTCATACTGGATGAACTGTGCTGGATAAATAAGCCGTAGAGTTGATATTGGTATCATATTGAAGGAATATCTTGTGTCTCCCAACATAATTCCTAACATATGCCAGAAACAGACCTCTCTGGAACACTATCTTGAGTGACAGGGGTCCAGTGACTCTCAAGCTGGTCCTAGTGGCATTAAAAAACAAAGAAGGGAAGTAACCCAGGATAAGGACTTGGTACCTGAGTCTTTATGGAAGGGGATTCCCCATCCAAATAACTGTAAACTCCATCCTCTCCCCTCCTCCCATCTTCCATACATCACCATGTCTTCAATAAAGGTAAGTGTAATGTTATTACTGTTTCATTCTTCATGCATCATTGTTTTCTGTGTAGGTAAATGTATATTTCATGTAGAAAACATTTTTTTAATACTTTTGGGTGTCTGAAACGGATTAATTGGATTTCCATTATTTCTTATGGGGAAAATTAATTCAGAATAAGTCAGATTTGGGATAAGTCACTCTCTCTGGAATGGATTAATTATGTAATCCAGGGGTCCACTGTACAGTTATTATATATAGTGTAAATTACCTAGCGCTTGTAGATATAAGACATAATAAGAATGACTGGCAAGTAATATGCATTTTCACTTGATCAGGAATCAGACGTGATGACTCTGCATCATGTATAATTCCTGTAAGTTTACGAGCCACTCTCTGAGACACAGAGACAAGCACACGGAAAGACAGACACACACACAGGCAGACAGAAACACACACACACAAAGACAGATAAGCAGAGCTAGACAGATGGACATACATGTTTGTGTTTAACAGTGAAAAATAAAGCCAGGGTTCCCTGGAGCAGTGCATGATCATCAAGTGTCATTCCACTGCTGCAATGTCAGCAGTGGAGTGACACTCATCTCACAGTAATAATACACCATGCTTCATATATACTCCAGCGTGTCTAAAACATTGCTGGGACCTATAAATACTTTGTATGTAGTTCTAGACAATAGTAAATGACCAAGGCAGTTGAAAATTTTCACATGTCAGTGTGTTTGTGACTATTTGAGTACTATTTCAGCACCTAATATTACCTAATATTAGTGTCAGAACAAAGATTGGCTGTGAAATCACAACTACAGTAGACTGTTGTTTAACACGGTAGTTATGTTCCTGAAAATGCTGTGGTAGTTAAAACCATGTTAGACAAACTGAAGAACTTGAGGGAAAAATAGGGTTACGTTCCTGGGGACCCCCAAAAAGCCAAACTTTTTCTTAGACCAACATCTTACAAACATAAAAGTGAAGATGTAATTGTAGTTCATTGTCATGATGTATTATGTTGTTTTTACTGCTTAAGATTACAAATGTAACAGAAATAATAGTATTTTTTACCTTAAATTGTGGGTGCTGGTGTTTGTGGATGATTGTGGAGAGTGGAGAGTTATGCTTTGGCCCTACTGGGCTTAAGTGGATGACAGAGGTTCTGGTACTGAAGTCGATGGTTGTATTGGAGTGTGCATAAATTCTGTAATGGATTTCTGTTGTGCTTTACCCTGCAGTACATTATAATACAGTCAGTCAGTCAAGTCAGTAAGTCAGTAATACAGTCAGTTAGCAAAATAGTCAAGTCAGTCATACAGTCAGTCAGTCAGTAACACAGTGAGTCAGTCATCACAAACTCATACTTACCTCATTCTTTTTATGTGCACAAAGTTATGCTTCATTACGACCACAGGCTATCTCTTGTCTAATATCTCTATTTTCTTCATTAATTCTAAGACTTCAACACTTATACCTTTTCTTGCCACTTTTAGCAATACTTGTATGCCTACTGGGTGCCATGATTCCTTGGCTCATTTAAGATGTGGCAATTAAATGATCTAAACTCAATCCACACACAAAAATAAAGGACGCTCCAAATTTTTTCCCCTCCCGCAAACTGAAAATGTTTAGTTAATTTTATGTAGTGTTATACAAAAATATGCCGCAATTCTTCAATAGTACTATAACCAAAATGTGCCAAACAAAATCACGTTAAACAACAGTCTACTGTATTATAAATTGTAATTATCAGAGCATAAAAATTACATAAAACAAAAAAGAGAAAAAAATTAATATCAACAATATTTCTGCAAGCATCAGGGCTCCATGTTGCCATCAGGTGAGCATCCACCACCAACTTTGCAGTCTTATATCTCAGTAAGTACTGATCCTAATTTTTTTTTTTTTTTTTGGTCTTATTACACACAGAAAATTGCCCTCTTAATTTTTTCTTTTTTTTAAATATTCGGAACACTGGCAGTGAAAACATAGATCTGTTTGGACAGTTTAAGGATTAAGCCCAGTCTGAACTGTTTTTCATTTAAGGATGCTATCTGTAAGCCATAGGCTATTTAGTCTCTTCTGTGAACTGTTAAGTTGGACAGTGAGTGCTATAGAGGTTTTGAGTTTTTTGAAGAAAAATTTTGATACATTCATTCATATAATGGAGCAGCATTCCATTGTCCTATAAACCCACAACATTAAGAAGCCCACTGATACTGACTACTATGTGTATGCCAGTTGATAAACCTTACTACAACCAAACACAGCCAAGTGGGCCCACATTAACCCTTCCCACACTCTTCAAATGCTATACTGAACAATAGAATGTAAGGTAAGATAAACTGTGTCATTCTAAACATTCAAGAATATTGTAAGAAAGTTGTTTGGCATTTTTTGCAGGTATGTATGTTATTTTGATTAGTTAGCATTAAATTAAATAACATGTAAATTTTTAGGAATTTAATAGTCATGTTAATTAACCTTCTATTGCAATAATTCAACAAAATATTAAGAATGTGGATACATACCATTGTATTAAGATCTGAAACTTGGGCATGAAGACTTTCAAACTGATTGGTGTAAATAAGTGATGTTCTCTCTTTGTCGCTAAGCTCTTCCTCTCTCTTACTGCACTCCTAAAGTAAAGTAAAATAATGTGAAAAAAATGAAGTGGAAAAAATGGAAACAACACATTTTTAAAATGGTGCATAACTTAGCAGTGTACTGTATATGACTGGCCTAATTACTCATTTATTTAAAATACAGCTCATTTCTACTATCAGTAATTAGCAAGGTACTAAATCTGCTACCATGACTGAATCTAACATTTTTTTTTATTCTTTTAGCCATTTTGACAGAGAAGATCTATTAGTAAAGTTTATTTCTTTGTAAAGGTTACAATGTGGAATTATAATTTTGATTTGCTAAGAACAAAGATAGCCACTATCATGCTAAGGCATTTTGGGCAGACTAATCCTAATACATACTAACTAATTAAAACTAGATAAAATAATAGTACATAGTAACTATACTTACAACTAGACAAGAAGTGGTTAACTGTTTTACAATCTTATTTAAACTTAATACAAATGAGAGGAAGTAAGGTGGAGTAGGGTTAGGTAAAAATCTTGAAATTGCGCACAAAATCTACCTTACTGAACACACTTTTTCTAATCAACTAGCTCTATTACTGAACATCTTTTCTTCTCGACTCAATATGTACTTTTCAGATGAAGGGCATACAAAGGCCTTGCACAACTGTAATCCAACATTATTTTCTGCTGTATAATGACATGTTGTAATACAGTGGAACCTCTGCTTGCGAGCACATCCACGTGCGAGTTTTTCCAAATATGAGCAGTCGATGGGTCGATTTTTTGTTTCCATATGCGAGCAAAATTTCCATAAGTGAGCAGACCTCAAGGCAGGTTCCTTGACACTGGTGAGGGGCTCTTGCTCTTGATCTAGAGAATTGTATCTCATTTGTTTGTTGGACTATCTTATTGAAACTTGAGCAATATATGATGGAAAGATGCTTCTTAATGTACACCAAAAATGAAAGAAATCTAAGCATAAATAATGGAGTTCACTTCTCAGCAATTAGTCACTCTTTAGCGGTATTTTTGTATGGTTTTCATGGTAGTATTCTCGTTTTTTTTTGTCTCATTTGATAGAATGGGAGATACGTATATTACAGAAATAGGTATGATTTTGATAGCTTTCACGATGAAAAGTACCTTGAAATTGAGCTCAACACAGGAGAACTGTTCGATTGTTTGGGCTATGTTCAAGAGTAAACAAATGACTTCACTGTCCATTCCAATATGCAGTTGTGAATGGGTTGACATTATTTATACAATTATTGCAATAAGGCATAGCAGTAAATCTTACATTTTTGTGTGAATAAAAATTACAAGTTATTTATATTGTAATAATAATAATTGTATAATAATACGTATAATAATAATAGTACATATAATAATATAATACAATAAGAATAATAATATAATACATATATAATAATAATGTACTACATAATAATAATGATAATAATAGACGGCTTCAAAAGGCCGTCACTACATGGCAGTGTTTACCACAACATAGAGGGAGCGGTTGTGGCCGCCTCCACCTGTTACATAATGGCATATTTTATTCGTTCTAGAGTACATATCAGGCTTCTGTGTTATTTATATTGTTTATTATTTCATATTAGATGAACTGTGATAGATAAATAAGCTGTAGAGTTGATAGCGAAATATTCAAGGGGTATTTTGTCCTGTCTCCAGACAAACACTCATCGGCCGCCGCCGCCACCACATATACAGTGGACCCCCACATAACGATATTAATCCGTTCATGAGAGCTCATTGTTATGTGAAATTATCGTTATGCGAATGAATTTTCCCCATGAGAAATAATGGAAATCAAATTAATCCGTGCAAGACACCCAAAAGTATGAAAAAAAAATTTTTACCACATGAAATATACATTTTCCTACACACAAAGAGAAGGATACATGCACAATAGTAGAGTAGTACATGCACAGTATATATTGTGCATGTACTACTCTACTAAATGAAGAATAAATGACACTTACCTTTATTGAAGATGCAGCAATGACTGATGAGACACTGTCCTGGGAGTGCCTTTTCCTCCTGAGTACTGTAGGTCCTGTTTGCCATTTTCTTCCAGAACAGGCCTTATCACACTGTGTATGCCACTACGATTCTTAAATCTCTCAAACCAACATTTGCTGGCTTTAAATTCACCAATATGAGCATTAGTTCCAGGCGTTTTTCCCTGTTCACCTGGGTGTTAGTCGACTGGTGTGGGTTGCATCCTGGGAGACAAGATTAAGGACCCCAATGGAAATAAGTTAGACAGTCTTCGATGACACTGACTTTTTTGGGTTATCCTGGGTGGCTAACCCTCTGGGGTTAATTGTTTCTTGGTATTCTCAATAAGCCACACCAACAACGGTGCTACAGCAGCAGCAGCAGCAGCAGCTGACAGTGCTACAGCAGCAGCAGCAGCAGCAGACGATGCTACAGCAGCAGCAGACAGTACTACAGCAGCAGCAGACGATGCTACAGCAGCAGCAGACAGTACTACAGCAGCAGCAGCAGCAGACGGTACTACAGCAGCAGCAGCAGTTGATGGTGGTACAGCAGCAGCAGCTGACAGTGCTACAGCAGCAGCAACAGCTGACAGTGCTACAGCAGCAGCAGCAGCTGACAGTGCTACAGCAGCAGCAGCAGCAGCTGACAGTGCAGCAGCAGCAGCAGCTGACAGTGCTACAGCAGCAGCAGACAGTACTACAACAGCAGCAGTAGCAGCAGCTGATGATGGTACAGCAGCAGCAGCAGCTGACAGTGCTACAGCAGCAGCAGCAGCTGACAGTGCTACAGCAGCAGCAGACAATGCTACAGCAGCAGCAGACGATGCTACAGCAGCAGCAGACGGTACTACAGCAGCAGCAGCAGCAGCAGCAGCAGCAGCAGACGGTACTACAGCAGCAGCAGACGGTACTACAGCAGCAGCAGCAGCTGATGGTGGTACAGCAGCAGCAGCAGCTGATGGTGCTACAGCAGCAGCAGCAGCAGCAGCTGGCAGTGCTACAGCAGCAGCAGCAGCTGACAGTGCAGCAGCAGCAGCAGCTGACGGTGGTACGGCAGCAGCTGACGGTGCTACAGCAGCAGCAGCAGCAGCTGACAGTGCTACAGCAGCAGCAGCAGCAGCTGACAGTGCTACAGCAGCAGCAGCAGCAGCAGTTGACCATGGTACCACAGTATTTCGATAATATTTCTCACCCTTTTTACCACAGGGTTGGCACTAGAAGCTTTCTTGGGGCCCATGGTCACTTATTTTGCAGATAAAATAAAAAAAAACACTGTAATAATATGAAATGTTATGATTGTATGCTTGGATGTTACCGCGGAGGCTGGCTTGTAAACAATGCCACCGGCGGAACATGTGAGGCTGGCTCCGGCCGCACATTAGACGCATCACGGACGAATAGTGTTGAGTGGGTTTTTTAGCGGTATGCAAGGCAAAATCTTAGCGATAAAATGTATCGGTATGCGGATTTAACGTTATGTGATGCCAACGGTATGCGGGGGTCCACTGTATAATGACATATTTTATTCATTCTAGAGTGTATATCAGGTTTCTATGTTATTTATATTGATTATTATGTCATATTAGATGACCTGTGATAGATAAATAAGCTGTATAGATGATATTAGCGAAATTATTCAAGAAGTATTTTGTCATGTCTCCAGACAAACACTCGTCGGCCGCCGACACCGCTCATACCACTACATGAATTACATATTTTATTCATTTTAGAGTATATATATCAGGTTTCTATGTTATTTATATTGCTTATTATGTTATATTAGATGGAGTGAGATAGATAAATAAGCCGTAGAGTTGATATTAGGGAAATTATTGAAGCACAGAATTCCACTGGAACGGATCAATTGCATTTCATTTAATTTAAATGAGGAAAATTGACTCTGCAAATGAGCAAGTCCAGTTGCGAGCAAGGTCATGGAATGGATTAAACTCGCAAGTAGAGGTTCCACTGTATATTGGGAAGAAATACATTTTCAGAGTTAAAGAATGCTTTGACCTGGTAGATCCCTCAGCACTCTTGGTGTAATACTTCTTGAGAGGTTATCACATTAGGTGAATAACCATGCACATCATTGATCTCTATGTTATCTCTACTTGCTACTTAAAACAAAGTCACAGTAAGACCTAAATACAATGACCTTAACCATTTCAGGGTCCAAGGCCAAAATCTGAAGTGGTGCCCCAGTGTCCAAGAATTTTCAAAAAAAAAATTGTTATTTTCTCTTATGAAATGGTAGAGAATCTTTTTGTGAAGGTAATAAAACAAAAAGTACGAAATTTGATGGAAAATTGACGAAATTATGCTCTCGTGAATTCTGATGTGTCAGCGATATTTACGAATCGGCGATTTTGCCGACTTTGACTCCCATTTTAGGCCAATTACATTATTCCAGTCGACCAAATTCTTAGCTATTTCACTAGTATTACTTCTATTCTATCGATTGAGCACAAGAAATCGCCAAGTCAACCATTTCAACTACAAAATAAAGTGACCGGAAATTGGTAATTTGGCCAATTTAACACAAAGTTCAAAATATTCCAATTTCAAAATAGGGTCCAGAATAAACAATGTAGGTATTCCTGGCACTAAACTAACATTTCCTCTGTTCATTAGTTATGTTTCGAGGCTTTACAAATAAATTCCATTTTGAATTTTTATTCACATAATGAATTTTTATTCACACCAAAAAATAGAAGATTTACTGTTATGCAATATTGTAATAATTGTATAAATATCATCACCACATTTGTGAATGTATATTAGACCCACCAGCTGGCGTGTATAAGACGTGTGAGGTCGTTTGTTTACTCTTGAACATCGGCAAAAATTTAACATTTCCGCCACTTTGAGCTCAGTTTCAAGCCATTTCCGGTGCTAACACCAATCAAAATTATCTCTATTTCTGTGATATGTCTTCCATTCTATCAAATGAGACCAAGAAATCACAAATACAGCTATAAAAAACATACGAAAAAACACTGCAAAGTCGCTGTTTTA